ATGCTGTCTACTGTGGAGAGTGTCCAAAGGGCTTGCATATTATACTCTAAGCTGACATTCAGCCAGGACACCAAAATGGCCATATTTATTATTTATGGTCAGCATCCAAACTGATGGATGAACCTTTCACTATGGTCATATAATTCTGGCCTGCTGCTTTGGAAAGTATATTGTGTATACCAAAGATGAAGTTAGAAGAATAGAGATGCTTCATTTAATCCACCACTAGTGATTTTTGGGTTTTTGGTGGTACTGGGGATTGAACTCAGGGCTTCGTGCTTGCTAGGCAGGTGCTCAACCACTTGAGCCATTCTGCCAGCCTGCCTCACTAGTTTCAGAAAGCAATCCTAGATATGGCTTTTATCAAAACCTTTGGGGTTTCCAAAATACTTTAGTATTTTTTTGCAGAAGAAGTTTTATTGTCCTTAGCTAGCACTGAGTTCTAAATAGGTAAGACAATATGTCAGATACAGTACCTCTCTCACTCAGAGTTCCTTACCAGAATAACAAGCCTTATGTACAGCCCTAAAATAAAAACCAGCTTTGAAATGTGCACTATATAACAGTCATCATTAGTAAATTATCTCAGACTATGTATGTTTCAAGATGTTTAATACTTTTTTTTAGATTATATATACTTTAAGGTGGCTAACATCACATAAGGGAAAAGTGAATTTGTAGACCAATTTAGTTTAATTAGCTATGAGAAAGGATGACAATATGTTTAAGGATGCCTGTCTTTTCATTTTTGACAGAAAAGGTAGGGTCCTGCTATTTTGTGTGTGTGCGGGGGAGTATGGGAGTTTGAATTCAGGCCCTTGTGCTGGTAGGCAAGTGCTCTACCACTTGAGCCATGCCCCAGACAACTTTAATGTTTTTAAACAACTTCATTAAAATATAATTTACATACCATAAACCCCACTTATTTTTAGTGTAGAATGCATTGATTTTGAGTAGATTTACTGGGTTATGCAATTTAACAAGTAAAATTCAAACAGTAAAAAATTTCATGCCATACCCAGTCCAGCTGCTCACCACTTGAAAGTCAATACCTTCCGTCTGGTGAGAAGGAAATCAGTTTTATGCAAAGGCTGGCATCTGAGAGGGTGGGGAGCTGTTGCCACAGAGCTCCATCTTAGGGTACTCTCAGAGGTGCAAAGGTCTTTTGTAGGGAAGGAAAAGAGGAGCAGGGGACAATAGGTAGGAAATCTACATGCTGATCGGTGTCTTGGCATCCAGGGCTAAGTCTTGCCAAGTCTTGTCACCCAGGACACGTGTCTCTTTTATTTTCTTTTCTCTGGACTGAACATTGCAATCAACCATGACCTCTTGGGACTAGTTACAAGCACATTAAGTCTCTCCAAGTTAAAAATCACAGCTACTTACATGCTTTGTGTTAGTTGATGCACAAAATTACAAAAGAAGGAGCTGGATGCTGGTGGCTCACACCTATAATCCTAACTACTTAGGAGGCAGAGATCAGGAGGATTGTGGCTCAAAACCAGCCCAGGCAAATAGTTCTCAAGACCCTATCTTGAAAAAACCCATCACATAAAAGGGCTGGTGGCTGAGTTCAAACCCTAGTACTGCAAAATAAATAAATAAATAAATAAATAGATAAATACAGAAGAAGGAGAGGTGTTACATATTCTGATGTTTTCTGAATGTTGCCAGATGTTCTGGGTTTTTGTAAAGGTAAAGAAGGTTATTTAGCAGTTAACAGCTTTTGTTTGTTTTTTTAGACAGGGTCTTGCTATGTATCTCAGACATGCCTCAAACTTGAGTTCCTCCTGCCTGTGCCTCCTGAGTGCTAGGATTTCATGTTGGTTTGGTAGTTAACATCACAATTATTTATGTGTGGCTTCTCTTTAGAATTTAGGATGCCAGGCAAAGGGAGAGGAAGTAACCTTTTGAACAGAAAGTTCACCTTTAGTATTGGGCTGGGTTTGGTGGCCATGAGCACAAAAGAGTATGCTTAGCTTGCTTCTTTTCTTTTTTCTTTTTTTGGTGAGATTGCGGTTTGAACTCAGGGCTTCACGCTTGCAAAGTAGGCTCTCATCACTTGAGCCTCACCTTCAGTCTATTTTGCTCTGGTTATTTTAGAGATGGGAATCTCGAAAATTGTCTCCCAAGTAGCTAGGATTACAGGTGTGAGCCATCAGTTCTTGGCTGGCTTCTTTATCCCAGATCCTACCTCATTTCTCTTTCTTGCCTCCCTTCTCCTCTCCCTCCTTAGTGCTTCAGGTGCTGAGGATAATAAGTTGAAAGATGATCCCTTCCCTGAAAGACCAGGAGGAGTCACCAAAGCCATCCAAGAGCGCATTCTCTTGTGAAAGTGTCATCCCTGATAGAGCAACTGCCCTGGGCATTAGGGGATCACAGTTATCTCAACTCCACCCCAGGTTCATGGAGATTTAAGCTCAGTAAACATTATTGAGTATCTCCGCTCAAGCACAAAGATGAATAAGAACTCAGCCCTGCCCCATTGTGATCCAGTTCTAGTAGCCACATATGTGAATCTCAATCTCCTTTAGTACCCTGTGGGTAAGAGAAACAGTCTTGCCCTATTTCCTGGCATTGCCAGTCTCCCTGGCTTACTTTGAGTCTCAGCTCAGACCGGATTCTCAGGTCCTTCTGGCTACCCATCTAACGGAACATATCCCCCAATACACAGATGTCATCACCCCTTCCTCTGCTTTGTTTTCCTTCTTTCCTTTCTCACTCTTTAACGTATAATTTACTTATTTCTTATGTTGTATATTGTCTGCTTCTTCCATTAGAAGTGAGTGTAAGACTCTGGGTATGTTTTCTTCCTGTCCTAACCCTTGTGGTATTATATTCTATACCCAAGAAAATTTCTGGTATAAATTCATAAATATTTGAAACTTTAGCTTTATCTCCAGTGCTGGGTCCCCTTCTCATAAGGATGAATCTTGATTCTCTGTCTCCCACAGAAGACATTGTCTTGGGGCGATGGCTTGGTCCCGAGGGTTGGCCAATTCTCTGACAGTGCCACTTGCCAGCTTGCAGCTCAACACAGACTGGTCCTAGCTGCCTTGTCCCTGCACCTTTCTCACGGAAGAATTTGTTGTGGCATGTTCTTACCTGTTCCTTCCCTAGCTCTAACTGCTACTGTCTGCCTGGTTACTGGCCTCCAGCGTGTCTTAAGACAGTTTTTAAGAACTGGACCATCCAAGTCTGCCCCAGTTAATTAACCTTCTCTGTGTGACAGCTTTACAAGACTGGACAGAAACATCACATGATGCTCTGTGAATTAAAATACCAGTCAGTGGGAATGAATAAGGTTGGAAGTGTTCACCCCACACATGCTAAATGCTTGCACCCCTACACCAAAGACTTTTCTTGAAAGCAGATGAAAAGGGAGTTGAGACATTTTGGAACAATTACTGAACCCTGAAATGAGCTTCTTAAAAGCAATCTTGAAAGTCACTCTTGTATAATCAGATTTCTAGGATAAACTTTCCTGGTTCAATCTCGGCTGTTATAACTAACCTTTCTCTTCCCCAGCTCCTGGCCAACATCTGAGCTGTCAGTACCCTTCGTTTTTCTTTTTTTTTTTTCTTCTGCCTTAAAGTTGTAGCTTAAGATAGACATGCATATAACTTTCTTTCCTTTCTGGTGTACAACAAAGATTATACCTTAGGGGAACGAAGGGACAAAGGCTCAGCCTGGTGACTGTTTGGCAATGCTCTAATTAGGAACCCATACACCACTGACATCCTTTAAGGTTTATCTGTCTCCAGGTGACCAGTTTTCTGAAGGCGCTTAACAACTTACTGGGAAACACCATCAAGAGGTTGTATTTGTGGGATAAGGCAAGAAGGGCCAGCTAAAAGCATTAGGAGCTTTAGGGGTTTGTAGGGCTTCCTTTTCATTTTATTATCATGGCAGAGACTTTTGGATGAGCTAAACTACCTGGGGAGGGAGCTGCGGAGAGCTTCCTGCTCTGCCATATAACGGAGCTGGAGACCCGGGAAGGTTGGTAGGCTTTAACTTGCCAGAGTCAGAGTTCTAGGCTTCATTCTGCAAGGAAATTCTTAAAGGTAAGAGAGGGCACGGTAACCAGCCTTAGCCAGAGACCTTCCTCCTCCATTCCCCTATGTTTTTAGATTTTATTGGAGGACCAAGACATGCAAAGCATGTCCCTAAGGTAGGACTTAGGTGTCGTTTTGTTTTTGCGCAGCTGGAGATGAACCCAGGGTCTCAAGCATGCTAGGCAAGTATGAGTTACACCCCCAACCCAGAAGCTTTTAGTCTGTGTGTGTGGCGGTACTGGGGTTTGAACTCAGGGCCTCAGGCTTGCTAAGCAGGCGCTATCTGCCAGCCCCAGAAATTGGGTTTCAAGGTGAGGAATAAGGTGAGTTCCGAGGTCCCAGTGGTTCAAACTTCCGTATAACTCCTAGGACCTGCACTTTCCTGCCCCGGATATTCTCGGTACCCATTCATCTGAGGGGCCCAGGCGTGAGGTGTCCATTTAGGCCTCTTTGGGTGCATCCTCCCCTCGTTGAAAGCACGAATCTGCCCTGGACTACGTGAACTTTCAACGGCAGCCAAAAAGTATCTGCGGTGACGCGAGTGCCGAGCGGCTTCTGGAACCGCGACCATGTGAACTCCTCCCTCGGGCGGTCCCGGGTCCGAGCCGGGGCCCGCACCTCATCCCCGCCCTCCAGCCCGCGGCACTCGGTCTCCTTTCACACCTGACTTCAGCTCAGGTCTCACTCCCGCGCGGGGGAAGAACGACGTCCAGGTGCTGGTCGGACACTTGGGGGGAGGGAGAAAGAGAGGAGCAGCCCCTCGTCCCAGGGAACGGGGGACGATTGCGGACGGACACACGGACGTGCGGGACAAGCGGCCGGGAGGGGTGCGGGAGGAGGTGGAGCCGCCGGGGAGGGGCGGTGCCGCGGGAGCAGAGCCCAGCCTCCCGCCCCCACCCCCTTCGGTGCCTTAGCCTCGGCAGTGACACAAAAAGCTCCCGCTCGGTGCCGAGCGCCTGGCGGCGGTGTCCGAGCGATCGGGGACGCGGAGGGCGCCGGGCAGGTGGGGGCGCCGCCCGAAGGGCCGGGCCGGGAGCTGGGCTGCAGGCGCTGCCCGCGCCGCCCCGCAGCCCGCGGCGCGCGTCTGGCTGAGCGTGGCGGGCGCGCCGGGACCATCCAGCGATGCTGCCACCGCCGCTGCCGGTGTAGCGAGCGTCCGAGCCCGCAGCGGACAGAGGTCAGCGAGTTTCGGTTTGTTTCCTGCTCTGCGCCCTCCTGGGTCGGGGGCGAAGGGGGCGCGAAGGGATGCCTGCGCCCCCACGGCGGCTGCACCTAGGGAAGCTGGAAAGGGCAATTGCCGCCTGCCGTATGGGGGGGGTGTGCTACCTTTTGGGCAGTGAATGGGGTGGCGGGGCGGTGGGAGCCCTGGGGAAGGGAGTGCGGGGCGCGGGGGCGGTGGTCCCCGGAGTTGCGTGTCTCCCCAGCGCTGGCAGAGTTGGGCGCGCGGCTGGGGCCGGGGAGCGGCGCTGTCGGCGGCTCAGCAGAGTCCTCGGATGCCCCCTGGAGCTCTGGTCCTAGGGAACTCGCTTCGTGCCCGCGCCGCGCGTGCCCTGGGGGGGTGCACTGCGCGCGCGCGCGTCCCAGCTGCGCCCCCCGCCCGCACACGCCCTGTCTCGTCCGCTCGCGTTCTCCTGGCTGGACGCCTTTCCCATCCCTAGAAGTTGCCCCGGGGCCCCGCCTGGGAAAAGTGGGCGCAGTGGCGGGCCAGACCTTGGGGGTCTTTTGTGCGGACACACGCGCCCGGGGCGCTTGCTCTGGAAGGACAGAGGCAGGACAAAGCAGGCTGGACTCGTGGTCCCCTATGCCGCTTACGGTGGGGGTGTGGTTGTGGTGGTGGGGAAAGCCGTACTGTTTAGGAAGGAGTAGGAAAATGACGAAACAAGAGTGACAGTGACTTGATGAGGCTGTGGACAGGGACAAACAAAAAGAGGATGCTCGCGAATGCAGCGCGGGTGTGTGCGGCTGGCGCCCCGCATCCCCTTCTGACCGGGTTTACACAGTGCATTTTGCTAGCGTGTCTTTGCCCCTAGATGGTATTCTACACCCTCTGGATTCCGAGCTTTCGGAGGGATTACTCTTGCGAGTGGAAGCTTTACCGTGCGGAGTGGAGGGGTAAGGGAGGTGGTGGTTTTTTTTTTTTTTTTTTTTTTTTAAAATCTAGAGAGAGGATTAGAAGCCGTTACGCCCCCTCCTCGCCCCGCAGACCCCTCACACCTCAGCTGCTTTCTCCCTGGACACCCACTCACGCACCGCTGGCGCGCCCACGAGGTTGTCTGGATTTCTTTCCGTGCTGCGTGTACCTAACCCTTACTGCATGTGTCTCACTGCAGGCTGAACAAAGATCAGTCTCAATCGTGCTTCCTGCTTGGCGGCCTCTTGCCTCCCAAAGGCGCACCGTTTCCACTTGATGTCGTCACGCAGGAGGGGGTGAAAAGGACTCGAGACAGATTCAGGTAACCCTCGATAATCGGGTAGCAGCCTGGGTGTCTCCGGGTCATTTGGGCCCACAGTGCTGGCACCGGGCTGCTTGGGAGGTTTCTGCATAGACAGCGTTCCCATCTGTGAAGGAATGGGGGCTTCTGAAACTCCTGCTTCAGAGAAAGAAATTGCAAATGACTTCATTCATTCCTTTGAAAGAGGTCACTGGGGGTAGGGCACATGGGCGGGGTTGGGGGGTGGGGGTGGGGGTGTGGGGTGGAGGGGGAGATGTCGTGTAAATTCCACCTGGTTGGTGGGAATTTTGATCCGATCAGCGCATAGGCAGTTTCTAAACGTGGGGATTGGGCATAAGGCAGCATTCTTTTCTACAGTAATGTATTTTGGCTCAGTCTGTCGTTGGGGTGTTAGACGTTGAGAAGATATTGTGGTAAGGCTGATACTGTAAGGCTGATTGTAAATCTGACCAGCGCTCACTTAGGGCATTGACCAAATGCAGTGACCTTCTTATGAAATGATAATGTCTTTCCCTTTTCCTTCCTTGTAACAGTGTTTGCAATATGGAGACATTGGTGCTGGCAGTAACTTGCCAGGAGATGTCAGGGAGGGTTGTTGGGGGAGCAGAAAAAGAGAGAAAACAGACCTGTTTAGTTAAGCTTTCACTTAAATAGCCACAAGCCATTAGACTATCATTCTGCATTTTATCTTCAGGTTGTTGGTTCTTATCCAAAAACTCTGGCCTGTTCTTTTCTTTCCAAGGATGGTTCTGTTTTGATGTCAACCTAACCAGTTTTGGGGGTTATCTTGACACAGTGCCAGGAAATTGTAACCTTCAGACTTATCAGGACACCTCCCTCCTAGAGGGCAAAGCCGTGTGCATCCCACACAAGTAGCTGGGAATAAGAATGGTTATAAAAAGGAACTCAGGGTTTTCTTGCTGGACGACAGATAGCTGAGGGCCAAAGGCTGCTGGAGCGTGCCTTTGCACTGCAGCAGCAACAGCTCAGGACAGAGCAGATGCTCTTTGCCACCTCCTCCTTCCCCCCAAATCCCTTGAAAAATAAAGTTTGAAAACTTGAAGGATTTGACATTCACCTGTAGAGAAGTTTGTTTTTAAAAGGTAACTTTAAGAACAGAAGTGACACAAGCACTATATTATCTCTGTCCTGAAAGCATTCTCAAATCACTAAGGGAAGCAGATGAGCTCTCTAGCCCCAGCTGAAACAAAGGCCAATGCTTTGGGAAGATGAGATTATTAATATGAAGCTAGGATAGAGGTATTCTGACAAGTGATTTTTATGTCAGCAATAATACAGGGTGTGTACTGTGTTGCTGCAAGAGGAAAACCCACGTGATGGGATAATAGGGAATGTAATAATGCAATGGAAACAAGGGTGTGGCTTAAAAAAAAAACAATAAATAAATACCTCACTCACAAAATTCCACATGGGAAAACAGCTGCCTGCACATGTAAATGCACGTCCAAGAACAAAGATAGCCACAGTGCAGTGCTGGTTTTTATTATGGTTTTAAATTGTGTACAGTGATAAATATTAATAAAGCATTGTATTGAGGTCTAGTTTGCTTTTTATTTAGAAGGAGGCTCCCCACCCCCAGATGTGTACAGCTGTGTATTTAGCTGTAGTGTGGAGAAGTCAGTCTTGGGGTTTAGTGCCTTTCTCAGTGTGCATCCATCCATCCATCCATCCATTCATTCATTCATTCAGCAGATGTGTATCATGTACCTGATAGCTATGGGCTGTGTGAAAGGTGCCAGGGGGTGGGAGTGAGGGGTGGAGACACAAAAGTGAATCACCTTTTGGGAGTCTAGGGAGATGAGGAGCAGGAGCTGGTAGTAATTGAGTTCAATGGAAGCTAGTGAGTGATGACCAAAGAATGGGATTGGACTTCTGAGGAGGGAGTGTGTGCTGGTCCAGCCTCTGCTCTGACATCTCTTTCATTGGGGAGCTTTCTGCTTCCTAAATGCTGGGCCTGCAGCAGAAGGTAGCCTTTTCTTCAGTCCTTGAACTCTTCAACTGAACCCCACTGGAATGGTTCCTTCCCACCATTGTTAGGAGGTCATCTGTTTCCTTTTCTCTACCTGTCTGTCCTGCTGGTACCCTGTCCTTCTCAGCTTGAGGTGTTGTTCAGGTCCTGTTGCATTCAATTTTGAAAGAGATTTTGTTTCTCTGTTACCTGGCTTAGGAAACAGATTGCGGGGTGGGGAAACTTTTTGCAGGTTTCTCTTTTAAGTAGTGATGTGTGAGTGAGACAGGTTAGATGACGGTGTGGCAGTTACCTCTGCATCTCAGTGCTAAATTTGGGTTTTTTTCTTTCTTGGGCTGTGTGTCCAGTGTCACTCGCAGGTGGACCCTGTACTTTGTAGGCCTAGGCTGATGGAGGCTTGATAGTGCCTAGGATTGTCCAAAATCCCTGCAGCACGGAGAGGGACACACTGCAGAGTCTCACTCTAGCAACTGTGTGGTCCCACTCAGAAGTGAATTACATGAGTCTGGCCCCAAATAATTCATGTGACCCTATTGAACCACCATTCACCTCTCACAATTCTTGCGTGGAAAGGGTGGAGAACTGGGTATAGGCGAGCAGCACTGGTGCCATTCACACTGACCTAGTCCAGGAGAAGTTCTAAAGTGTGTCCCATTGGGCCTGGCTCAATGCTTGGAGTTATCAAGTGATCCACCAGCATCAATTGAATAAATGAGTGATAAGTCTCTTAAAGAATGTGGACTATCCTAACCTGTTATTTACTGGTATGTTAATATGATATTTACTAACACAATTGTATACTGGTCATCAAATAAAAAATTGTAGTCTTTTTTTTTTTTTTCTGACTGTTTGGGTACTAGTTTATTCAGGGGTGATAGGCTAGCAGACATTTCTAAGCCCGATGCTGAAAGGTTACGTGTCTAGCATTATGTAATAAAGAGGTGCCACTTACAGATTTTCTCTCTCTTGCCATCTGCTGCTTTTTTAAAGACTTCCTGAGATTGCTTGGAACAGCCCAGGGAAGAAACAGAGCTGGCAGGTGACTCTGGAGACACCCAGGTGGTGACCTCCTACAACAAGGATTGCAGGGCAGCAGATAAGGAGGAAGGAATGGTTTAGGGTCACCTTGGGTCACCTTGCTATTTGATGTTTAGAAAAAGCAGTTTGGCCAGGAAGCTTTCTTCTGGTCATTGTTTTAGACATTCAAGTTTCTTCAGCCACCATTTTGCCTGTAAGTGTGGTGAGTTGAGGCCTTCTTTGCCATGCTGTCCTTAAAGAGTTGGATGCTGTAGAACAGGCATCACAAGGGCTGTGTGGGTCCAGCAGTTGGTCACTTGCAGAGAGACATTTGCCTTGGGAAGAACAGGTCACTTAAATGCCCACATTGTGATAACTGCATTCATAGATTAGAATTTTAAGGTCTGCTAAGCACTTTCTGGATAAGCATGGAATTTAACGAGATGCTATTGCTTCTGGTTCAGTAGTCACCTTGGCAAAGTTGAATTTAAAGACAACGTTCCATATTTAGAAGTGACGTAGTAAACTGACTGAGTTAGCCGCCAACACTGGGATTGATCTAAGGAGGTAGAGGCCACCCTCTGGTCTGGCTTCATTTGAGTAACAAGATCCTTTGCTCTAGAGGGTTCAGAGCTGGAGATGAGTAGCTGGGAGAGCAGCATAGAGCATCCCAGAACCAGCTCAAGGAGTTGGGCTGACAGCAAGTGCAGACTGTGCCAGAAGGAAAAGGAAACTTCGGGGGCTGTCTTCAGGAATATGTGGCACACTTCAAACTGCATTGTGTAACCTTGAGTCCCTCACTTTTTAACGCCTCTGTTCAGGTGAATGGCACTTTGGCCCTGGTACCACCTGTCAGAAGGTCACAGCAACAAGAAAGGAGGGAGGCACTGACTTTCCTGCTCCTTCCTGTGGCTTCTCAGTTACACCGTGTCCCAGAGTCTGCCTCCATGATGGACGTCACAGCTGGGAGATATGTTTCAGGGTTTTTGTGTTATTAGTTGACTCACTGCCATTGTAGAATTTAAAGGGAGGTCTCGAACAGTGTTTGTGTGATCCACATTGCCTTTTGGTGTTCTTGAGGCCCATGGTTTCCTGGTAGACCCTGTGTGACTGCTGAGGTGTTTGCTCTTTGTGGAGTTCTGGGGGCTGCTTGTGAGCTGCTAAGTGGGCTGGCTTAGTCAGAAAAGATGCCTTATTTACTGGCTTGATGTATTGATTCTTGCATAAATAAAACTCAGTGCAAGCATCCTGGATGACAAAACTTATCCAGACATTACATGGGCTTCCTGGGGAATCACCTCCATGCAGAGAAGGGGTTGATCAAATGATGTGCCCTGGCCAGGGCAAAGCAGTTGATGAAACAAAATCTACAGCTGTTGGGTTCTGGGCGTGTTCCTCCCTTCCCATCTTACCCCCACCTACCAAGGAGATGTAGTGGTACTGGCTCAGTCCCATTTCTAGGCTTTTTAGTTTTTGTTTGTTTTTTGTTTTTGATGGTACTGGGGTTTGAACTCAGGGCCTTGTGCTTGCTAGGCAGGCACTCTTACCTTTTGAGCCATACCTCCAGCCCAAATTAGAATTTCTTTCTTTTTTTGGCAGTACTGGGGTTTGAACTCTGACCTCACACTTGCTAGGCTTGCTAGGTAGGCCTTCTACCACTTGAGCAACTCTGCATTTCTAAATGCAGACAGTCACACCAACTGCACTCCTCACTGAGCTTGGGACAAGAATTGATGAGATGTTGGTAAAAGCTTTGTCAGACACTGTGAAACGAGGAAGCCTTATCATTATTGCTGTTCTGCTTATGACTAGATTAACGGTCTCTCCTTAGTAATAGTTTCTACAGCTCCCTTAATTTCCATCCCTGTGCCACATCCCAGCTGACCATGTTTCTTCTGAAGCTATGATGACAATGGGAGTGGGCACCCCAGCTCCTGACCTTCCCCCCGACCGTCTCTCATTGACCAGGTCATTTTAATGGTCATTCCTTACG